GTTACCGAAAAGGTTCCAAATGACGCAACACTTTTACGTGGCGATTATCTCCTTTTTGGGTGATTAAAAATAATTTAGCAAGTATATATTTGTTTGTTATTGTGTCATTGTGCACACAAAGCATTTAATATGGGACGTTGTTCAAATAATGTATAAAACCAATCAATTGCCTTCATGAAAAGCTCCTCCCTATTGTATGCGTGCGCAGAAAAAAAAATACTATATAATTTTTAATAATTGTGAAAAAAATAGTGTATTTAAAATAATGATATTTTGAGCAAGATTTTGACAGAATAAATGTCGAAATTTCCAGATCAATAATTTTAACACAATCTCTTATGAATGTTTTATTAAAAAACCTGTTTTTTAAAAAAAAAACGTCGTCTGTCTGTCTGTCTGTAAACAATTTTTCCAATTAATGCTACTCCTCCTACAGTTTTTGTCTGATTTCAATATAAATTGGAACACAAGTAGACTATACAAAGATACATAATTCTCTGCATCGGTTTTTGATTTCAATATAAAACCAATCAATGGAATCCTCCCTATTGGTGTTGCTGTGCTTAATATAACACAATTCTATCACAGTTTGAGCATTTTAAGCCACAGAGTACTAATATAAATTGGAACACAAGTAAAGAACCACTTTGGGAATAACTTTGACAGACTTTTTTGGGAATTACTTTAACAGACTTTTCTAGGGAAAGTGTCAAAACGGGTGTTAAATAAAGTGCATATATTTTTAAAGTCTTGATAACTTGAACTTGATAATTGCATTTCATATTTTATATTTGTATTTAATCTATTTAGATTATGGTTGGGGACTGTCCCCACTTTTATCCCAATTACTGTTTATTCCGTTTTCAAAAAGATTTTTCATTCTATAAATAAAAAACACCCTTTTCCCAATATTAATAAATAGAAGGAAGAAAACGTGAATCTTTAAAAATCAAGAAAATTTCAGGGACTTGTATCTTCTTTATATCTTAATAAGTGTACATCCTGTAATTAACAAAAGAGAAAATATATTAGTTCGGAGCAATTAATGCCGTCACTCTAGAAATTAGTGTGATTAGATGTTGTTGAGGAATGGTATTAGCCATAGACTCTTTGATTTACAATAAATTATTTGTGCAGATCCACATAAAAAGAAGAAAACTACTTTTAACTGAGGCACACGACTTTATACTAACATCTGACTTTAGAACTAGAATTAACAATGGAAAAGTCTAATGAAAGAATTTAGAGGCAGTACTGGAAGTAGAGGTATCCAGTAATACAATCAGTTAACAATATATCAAGTAATATTTAGTGAGAGAGACTGAATATACTGTGGGGAAAATAAAGTAAGAGAAACAGTATGGGGAAAACTATGTGAAGGAGTCTGTAAACAGTCTGGGAAAAGTTCAGTGGGAGAGTCTAGGAACAGTATGGGGAAAATTCCGCGAAAGAGACTTAAAGTGAGAGAGTCTGGAAACAGTATGGGGAAAGTTCAGTGAGAGAGTCTTGAAACAGTATGGGGAAAGAAAAGTGCGAGAGTAGAAACAGCATCGGAAAAGTATAAAGTGAGAGAGTCTAGAAACAGTATGGGGAAAGTTAAGTGAGAGAGTCTAGAAACAGTATGGGGAAAGTAAAGTGAGATAGACTGAAAACAGTATGAGGAAAGTAAAGTGAGAGAATCTTGAAACAGTATGGGGAAAGTAAAGTGAGAGAGTCTAGAAACAGTATGGGGAATGTTCAGTGAGAGATTCTAGAAACAGTGTGGGGAATGTTCAGTGAGAGATTCTAGAAACAGTATGGGGAAAATAACGTGAGAGAGTCTAGAAACAGTATGGGGAAAGTAAAGTGAGAGAGTCTAGAAACAGTATAGGGAAAGTAAAGTGAGAGAGACTGAAAACAGTATGAGGAAGGTAAAGTGAGAGAATCTTGAAACAGTATGGGGAAAGTAAAGTGAGAGAGTCTAGAAACAGTATGGGGAATGTTCAGTGAGAGATTCTAGAAACAGTATGGGGAAAGTGAAGTGAGAGAATCTAGAAACAGTGTGAGGAAAGTAAAATGAGAGAGTCTAAAAACAGTATGGGGAAAGTAAAGTGAGAGAGTTTAGAAACAGTATGGGGAATGTTCAGTGAGAGATTCTAGAAACAGTATGGGGAAAGTAACTTGAGAGAGCCTAGAAACAGTGTGGGGAAAGTAAAGTGAGAGAGTCTAGAAACAGTGTGGGAAAAGTAAAGTGAGAGAGACTGAAAACAGTATGAGGAAAGTAAAGTGTGAGAATCTTGAAACAGTATGGGGAAGGTAAAGTGAGAGAGTCTAGAAACAGTATGGGGAATGTTCAGTGAGAGATTCTAGAAACAGTATGGGGAAAGTAACGTGAGAGAGTCTAGAAACAGTATGGGGAAAGTAAAGTGAGAGAGTCTAGAAACAGTATGGGGAAAGTGAAGTGAGAGAATCTAGAAACAGTGTGAGGAAAGTAAAATGAGAGAGTCTAGAAACAGTATGGGGAAAGTAAAGTGAGAGAGTCTAGAAACAGTATGGGGAATGTTCAGTGAGAGAGTCTAGAAGCAGTATGGGGAAAGTAACGTGAGAGATTCTAGAAACAGTATGGGGAAAGTAAAGTGAGAGAGTCTAGAAACAGTATGGGGAAAGTTCAGTGAGAGAGACTGAAAACAGTATGAGGAAAGTAAAGTGAGAGAGTCTTGAAACAGTATGGGGAAAGTAAAGTGAGAGAGTCTAGAAACAGTATTTGGAAAGTAAAGGGAGAGAGTGTGGGGAAAGTAAAGTGAGAGAGTCTAGAACAGTATGGGGAAAGTAAAGTGAGAGAGTCTAGAAACAGTATGGGGAATGTTCTGTGAGAGAGTCTAGAAACAGTATGGGGAAAGTAAAGGGAGAGAGTCTAGAAACAGTGTGGGGAAAGTAAAGTGAGAGAGTCTAGAAACAGTATGGGGAATGTTCTGTGAGAGAGTCTAGAAACAGTAGGGGGAAAGTAAAGGGAGAGAGTCTAGAAACAGTGTGGGGAAAGTAAAGTGAGAGAGTCTAGAACAGTATGGGGAAAGTAAAGTGAGAGAGTCTAGAAACAGTATGGGGAATGTTCTGTGAGAGAGTCTGGAAACAGTATGGGGAAAGTAAAGGGAGAGAGTCTAGAAACAGTGTGGGGAAAGTAAAGTGAGAGAGTCTAGAAACAGTATGGGGAATGTTCTGTGAGAGAGTCTAGAAACAGTATGGGGAAAGTAAAGGGAGAGAGTCTAGAAACAGTATGGGGAATGTTCTGTGAGAGAGTCTAGAAACAGTAGGGGGAAAGTAAAGGGAGAGAGTCTAGACACAGTGTGGGGAAAGTAAAGTGAGAGAGTCTAGAACAGTATGGGGAAAGTAAAGTGAGAGAGTCTAGAAACAGTATGGGGAATGTTCTGTGAGAGAGTCTGGAAACAGTATGGGGAAAGTAAAGGGAGAGAGTCTAGAAACAGTGTGGGGAAAGTAAAGTTAGAGAGACTAGAAACAGTATGGGGAAAGTAAAGGGAGAGAGTCTAGAAACAGTGTGGGGAAAGTAAAGGGAGAGAGTCTAGAACAGTATGGGGAAAGTAAAGTGAGAGAGTCTAGAAACAGTATGGGGAATGTTCTGTGAGAGAGTCTAGAAACAGTATTGGGAAAGTAAAGGGAGAGAGTCTAGAAACAGTATGGGGAAAGTAAAGGGAGAGAGTCTAGAAATAGTGTGGGGAAAGTAAAGGGAGAGACTCTAGACACAGTGTTGGGAAAGTGAAGGGAGAGAGTCTAGAAACAGTATGGGGAAAGTAAATTGAGAGTCTAGAAACAGTATTGGGAAAGTAAAGTGAGAGAGACTGAAAATATTACGGGGAAAGTAAAGTGAGAAGGTCTAGAAACAGTATGGGGAAAGTGAAGTGAGAGGGATTAGAAATAGCATTAGGCATATTGATGAGATGGTGTGTGGAAACAATTTGCGGTAGGAATAGTGTAAGATTTGAAAAAAGTTACGTGTAATTTCGGTTAGAAAGTCGGGGAATGTTTCGATGAAAGTTCAGAGTGGGAGAAAGAGACTCCAAAATAAGTATGGGGAAAATGAGAGAGTATGGTAACAGTATGGGGAATACTTAGATTTTTTAAATCAAAATAGTTTTTAATGTGGAAGTAATACTCTTTGCAGTGTCATATTTTAATATCAGCTATATGCAATCTAAATTTTCAAAATTAGCAACATTATACATGTATTGTTAAGTACATGTTGTTAAGTTCATATAAGAAGTACAGTTAATTATTGTATATTTTATATCGTATATTTAAAATTTAGAGGGATTCCGAAATACTTTCCCCTTTATTCAGTGAGAAAAATTCATTTCCCCATATACTAAAAATTGAAAAAATACACTTAAACGACAGAGTTTCGAAATAAGCAAGTAGAGTTTATAATTAAATAGATCTCTTAAAAAATAGTATATGCTTGTAAGTTTTAAAAAAGTACGATAAAGCACTTTCCCCATAGAACTGTTGTATGACCCATTCCTCTTAATTAAGGAAAGTCGGGTAAGAGAGAGAGAGAGAGAGAGAGAAAGACTAAATCAGTACTAAGTCTTACATGTAAATAAATCAATTCTTAAAGACTTTTTTTTTATCGGTAGAAAATATACTTTTACGTCCAGTTTGTAAATGGCGACGTTTTATGACGTTACGGCACACCTGAGAAAAGTTCAGTTTTATTTCGATGTTGTAATGATACATTAAGAGACTTGAAATGACCATAGAAGAAAAAAGATTGTAAAAACATCACCATATCCTAAGTATACAATTGAAATAGGAGTTTTTCTAACGAAAGTTTTTTTATTGATTCCCTGGGGAGTACAAAACATACGGACAAACTCTAATTTAATAGCAATAGACGCTGTCACCGTAGATCGCCGATTTGAGATTTTCTAGTAGTTGAATGATAGTACATTGTAAGATTATTGTCCGTAATTAATTAATCTTCAGAAGATCGCATGAGGGTGCCAATAGGTTCTTCGGCTGTTTATGGAGACTAAAGAATGTGTATCAATTCCTAATTTCAGGTCGGACTCATCCAACTTCATTTTCAGCAAAGATAAAACGTGATGCTGTTTTAGACATTTTGACGTTATAATCCATGTGCGGTAAGGTGATACAGTACATGGCATAAAATCTCGTAATTTGTTTATTGCATATATTTATCTGAGATTTGCTTTGTATATCACTCAAATATGTACCAAATAAAAGTAAAAATTTCAGAACGCAGGGATGTTTATTTTTCACACTAGAGTACTTGTCCACGATTTTACGGGACAACCCTCGTTTTTCCCGTACTTGCTTGTAATGCATTTGTCTTTAAACGGAACATAAAAGAACTTTGTCTTAAAATAATTTTTGTGGAAATATTGACAATAAACTGCTTTAGTTAGACATGTTTATTATAATTGAAATGACATAATGAGCACATTCCATTTCTTGTAGGGTGCACGTTCTTGATTGTTCATCCTACGAATATGTACCTGCTACAAGGCACCCATTTACTATCACAGGATACATAGAAATATATATGGTCATCAATTGTTTATCAATTTACTAATAAACAACCAATATGTCCATAATTGGTTTATTGTGTTGCTTTTTATTAATATTGAATTATTTGGCTTTATTCCCATTATCGTGAAAAATATCGCTCTTTCTCTCTCTGTCTGTCGGAAATATGTCTTTTCTACCTTCTGCAGGATAAATATAATATATAGTAATGAATAGTTTATAATAGCTGATACATTTAAACAAAAGTCACACGCGCCTTATATGTCACCTGAGTATTGTGCTATTATATATGACAAAGTTTCAACGTCTTCTGTGTCATATCTGGCCCATCGTCTGGCGCATTGTTCAAGAGAACCCATACTTTTCATCATGAAATTGTCCTCAGAAATCAAATAGAAATTTATATTTCAATTTCTTTTTTTCATAATTGAAGAAATAGTTCAACAAAAATCACCTTGTATCAGTACATTAGGTACTTGACAAATATATACAACCCGACAACAGACAATTAGAGTTTACGAATTTATTGCATCATGTCAAACTAAAAAAGTAAATTAAAAAAAAAAAAAACAGTGATTGACCTGGAAAACAAGTTAAAAACAAAATACGTGAACAAATCGTTAAAAAGATATTAATTCAAATAGGTCGAGTCTGATTCAAAAGGGTATGGCTTTTAAATTTCATGCAGTCAAATGTTCGACATTACATCTTTCCCAAATATAATCATTTTAATGCATAATTAACACAATCTGTAACCCAACTGGTCTGAAAATATTATTTTTCGACAATAGTTAAGAAAGAACGCTGAAATGGCTCTAACAACGTCGCTGTTTTCAGATTTACATGTAGTAAGCATGCGCAATGCAGTGCGCTGAAGAACGACACTTGACTCACTTAATTATTTAAGACGTTCATAAATATAAAACTAAAACCTGATGACAGAACATGAAAAGGAAAACATACTAGCAATTTAAACGTTGATATTTTTACCAAAAGTAGTCAGCTATTTTGAAATATCACAGTTTGGTGAATTTTTAACAATAACTTTTATCTCATTGACTAAAACGGGAAATCGTAAGAATTTGAAGCTTTTTCAACAAATTCCCATATGACCCAATAGTAAAAAAATTGAAAGCTTTTGAGGTGGTCCCCTAAGAAATGGTATGGTTAACATTCGATTTTCTTCTCTTAAACCAATAAATATAACAGCAAAGCTTAATCAACAAAAAATTATCAGACTTTCTATAAGAGAAATAATTAGACTCGGCCTCCTAAAATCATAAAATCATTAATATGACTGGAGGAATAAAGAAAATATGTTTTACTAGAGATGTATTATATAAAATAAACTAAAAGAAATAAATACTTCTTTTGAGATATTTGTTTCATGTTTAAAATGATCAAAAAAATAAAAAAAAATTGCATATCAGTGTAATATTGTATTCATTGAATGTTGATGAATAAAAAACTTAAAAAAAAGCAATGTATGATAAAAACACGAGATCCACAGACCTTAACGGTCATCTAAGTGTAGCATTTTGATAAATGAAGCTTAACTGGCCAAGAAAAATAGCTCGATAAGGATAAAAAATTATTGGTCTAGCCCCCAAATGATCACTATGATCATGAAACGATAAACAATTTAATACGTGTATTTATTTTTAAGACTCTATTATCACCTCTCATAATGGCATATGTTGGCCTTTGAAAAACATTTAAGGGGAAGAAGGCCCTTTAGCTGAAAAAAATACCTGTCGTTAAATTTTTTTCATATTTTGTATATCCCAAATTTAGTATGTCCTACATACATTAAAGCAGATTTTTCAATAGGTTTCTATACTTATTTTTGAGATATTGAGTGACAAATACTGTTCCCCACAGTGTTTGAGTGAATGTTTGATTCTCCATGTTTTCGGGCCCATCACTCGGTACATAACGGATTTTTTTCAACATAAATAAAAAATATGTAGGCAAACACGTGTCTTTTAAAATATTCCAGAGTATGAATAGGATTAAAAATTCGAAAAAAGCAGGATTTTGTCGCACCACATCTGGAGACGGAAATTTAAGTACTTTTTAAGACAGTTTAAACAATAAGAAAATCAATTTACACAAAATTCTATCATTCAATATTTGAACATTTACTTTGAAGTGCAAGTTCGTCATGGTATTGATTAATTGTAAAAATATCGATTGGTGAAGCTGAGCTCAATATTTCACGGGGCATAGTTAAACAGGACATGTTCTTTAGAAAAAATGTATACATTTCTCGAGTGCGGGAAAACCCAACTATGACGTCACACTTTTCCGGAATAAGCTGAATAAGACATACATGTACCCAGAGAACATTTCCGTCAAAAACCATATAAAAATATTTTTGACGTTCTGCAATTCACAAAATACCCCACCATGTACAGAATGTGACCCATTTTTATGATTTAATATTGCCCGTTTTTACCGTGTATGATCTTAATGTACTAAGAGATCCACTATGACGTCAACGACGCGGTGAACGCGCAGTGTAGGAAAACGGAAAAGTGGATTAATTAAATCCGTAATTTGATAATATGTGCAAGAAATTTTAAATGTTTTCAGATATTTTTATACTAGATGGTGAACGCAAACAAACAGTCAAAAAAATATACAAGTACTGTGGTTTCAATTTCGTTTCGTATATATTTTATCAGAGGTTATGACTTAATTTAACTGAGTCATGTGACCATACATCCTTCGTCCCCTTAAAAAGAAAATCTTAGTCCCAATTTCATTTATCTGGAATTTAAAAGTTTCCTTATCAATAAAATTATGAAAGTGATTTTTTGTTTAAAAATGAACAATTTAAAAGATATTCTAAAAACATGGAAAATGTAATGATATATTAAATGTAATAGAAAATATAGAAAATTAAATCTCAACAATGGTCACAAAACAGTAGTTCATGGTTAATAATATGGATATTTGACAAATAAAAAATGGAGTATCCATTAAAGGTTACTTTCATTATAAAAATGATACAAATTAAAAAAAAATTAAAAACAAACATTAAATACAAGAGAAAATAAAGGTAAGTAAAAATTAAGTTGATTAGTTTAATTTTAATTATAAGGTACAAATTGACGAATAAGATTAACATCAGTCTGAGGAAAAGATAATCAGAAAAATTAATATATTGTCCTTTTTTCAGGGCTTTAGACAAACTTTTGGAATAATTGCATTTAAAATGAGAAAAAGAATAAGCTTTAAGTGTGTAAAAACTCAAAAATGCCGATAAAAAGTACCAAATAGACTTAATCCCAAGCATGTTTCGGAGGCCAATAAGAATTATATGTTTTAAAATGTTATGCCCCAGTTTTGTTTCATCTATTCAAATAAAACTCAAAAGAATTATCACACACTTGTATGAAACTCGTTTGGTGTTCTTTTAGCACTTGAATATGAAAAAAAAGAAACAATGCAGAAAATGAAGTGCAAAACGTTTTGAAAAAAAGCAAAATAGTTTTTAATTTATATTTTTGGGCCTCTGATTATAAAAAGGCATGAGATAGATAACTAAATCTCGATTTCATAAAAAATGCAGGTAAAACTAAAAAGATAAAAAGGAGTCGGCGGTCATTTGTATGTATATATTTTTTCAAAATATTACTACTTCATATTGTAGTCTAATGTCAAAAGAAATTTTATACAAAAAGAAGAAAGCATTTGAATTAAAAAGAAGGAAAAAGTAAACATATTAAACAAGTAGGTATACAAATGCATATTAGAGAAAACATATATATGCATTGTGTAGAAAAACATGTTAAACGCATTTTTTTAAAGAGTATATGTGGACTGCTTCAAAAAGATATAGATAGGGATAATTGTTTTTGGTTATCTTAGCAAACAAAACTTACAAAAATTCATAAGCAAATCATTTTGGTTTCGGAAACGTATTAACATTCACCATTTCCTTCTTCCTATTACACCATTTCCTTCTTCCTATTAAGGAGATTCAAATTGCTGTCACCACATGGTCGCCTTATAATGAAATATCAAAAGTTTATTTTTTCTCTTCAATTATTAAAGTGAACTTCGCTATTAACGATATAAATATTAGAAAATACCAAAATGCAAAATTTCATGCCATAGATAATTGTATTTATATTTGATATTTGATAATTGAATTCCTTAACTGTAATGGTTAATCGCCGCTTATTGTTAGAATTGCATAGTTAAGTGTCGATTATGCACAACATACGGCCCTCTCACTTAAGGATAAATAACACAAACAAACTTTTTTCAGAAATCAACATTATTTCTAATAGATTTGCATTTAAATTGACAACCTAAATAATGTTTACCAAGAAGAGTGGGAGAATTTTAAAAGATTTTGTCATCAAGTTAAAAAAATGTGTAAAATTTTGTATAAAATTATATAGAAGGCAAAATTAAATCTCAAATCTAAGCATCAAGGAAAACCTACGATTTCTTTATATTTCAGGGATTTATTATTTATGTCATTACAAATCAAAATCAGTCAAAAAATACATATCAACCCGCGCATCCTTTTTTTGTTTGTGGTAAGTACCCTTAAAAAGACAAGCTAATATTGACAAGATCGACAATTAAGGATTTAGATTTGTATATCAATAGGCATTCATCAATGATCACAAATACTAAAATGATTGATATTTTAAACGAAAAATCAACTCTACATCTCACTTAGTCTGCCCAACGTTAGTGAAACACATATTTATGCTTTAAGATGTAAGACCATTTGGATATGTGTAATACATCACTTCAATTTTTTAAGTTTCACAGCTTATCTTGCATCATATAAAACTGATGGTGTTAGATAAGAAAAATATTAGACAAAGCAGGGAGTGAGTGTTTTCAATGAATATGTTTGTCATATGGAATTCTGAGCTGGCTTGATAATTTTTGCATAGGTATTTGAAATTAAATATATAATGACAGCGTTCAATGCGGTTTCTCGTGCATGCACATGCATGTGGGTGAAATCTTTATTTACATTTATCTTACGTAATTAAACTGTACTTTTAGCTAGATTTAAAGATTTTAAAAGTATGAGTTTTATTTTTTAAAACATGTTCAGTTTACTTCATGATGTTTACAAATCCTATGAAAAGGTGAACGGGGGATAAATTAAGACTTATAAGAATGAAAAGGTGCGTATTAACTATTAAGGATACATGTCAGCGTTAATGATATAAACAGCAATTTATACCATTAGCAATTCGGAATATCACCAATAAATGCAATATTTATAGTATTTAGTTTTGTTTTTGTGCTGTAAGATGCTTCCCCAGAACAATTTTTCTTCAGATGATGTTCACAATCTTCTCTTATTTTTCAGAATATGGTTAAAGCAATAATTCTCTTACTGAAAATTAACTTACCGCTGAAGATCAAATAATTATGGCGGACTTCTTAACTCAAGGATTTCAGGTTCGCCGCTAGCTTGTCTCCTGAGAGAAAGGAAAAAATATCTTAAATGTTTTAAAAGCGTGGAAACTTATCTGAAATCAATTTATCTTAATCAAACATAAATATGAAGATTACATAATCCCTATTTTAATGGTGCAAATGATTCGTATCTCTAGGTGATTATTCAATAGATATACAAACAGTTAACAACATGAATTGTACCATTACATCTTTTTCACAGCATATCCAGCATAAATATATATACTTTCATTTTTTTTTAAATGTTGAACTTCATACATTATTTTTTGATAAATATATGAAAAGAATGAACAGTATTCACGCTCAAAAGTCAATTTAAACAATACAAATCTGGAGCAGAGCAAACGCAGACTTTAAAGCCATCAATTATGGGACCAGGTGCCATGGAGGAGTAAGCATCCCCTGCCGACCGGTTAAACCACCGGGTACTCCTTGTCATGCTTAAAACATCTTTTTATTGTTTTTAAGCATAGAGAAAAGTTACAGTAGGGCAATTGTATAAATGAGAAGGACTACGATACGAGTACTACATTTATCATGTTCCTTTTTTTTCAAAAGAACAACAGACATCCGACTTGAATTATACACTTTGGGAGCAGGGTAAAGTTAACAGTGTGCAATATAAGGACTGGTTATAGATAATAACTGTTCCCATGGCTTCCCGTTCAGCTAATAGGAAGCTAAATACACAACGTGATTGATTTAGATCATCATTGTTTTTCTTACAAGAACAAAATTTAATGAGAGCATTATTAAGTAAAGGTTTTTAAAGGGCCTACATTGTATTTTTTTTTCTATTTGTCTTTAACAATCAATACATGTAGATTTTATGAAGTACTGAAGCAAAGGTCTTCTTCTGTACGATAAGCAACTAAATAATATAAACTGGGATAATACAATTTGTAATCAGGGGCCCTACGGACTAGCTTTTTAAAAATTTTTGAAAGTTTATATCTCCAAAAGAGGGAACAATTAAATTAATGATATAAAAGAAAAATGTTCAACACAGCATTCTTTATAATGTTCAAATTTCCTTTTTCGTACGATTGAAATGGCTTGTTTCAATGTTTCTAAGATTCTTTCAGGACACTTTAACACTCTTTTAACCTGCTGTGACGTGAAATTTTCTCCTCAGAAGAAGATCAACGTCACTTCCGGTGTGGTTAAATTTTGTCAAAAACTTTCAAATTGTGATAAATTAGTGATAAGAAATTATCACAGCCTATAAAAAAATGTGTTTAAATGGGTTTTGATACTGTTTGATAATTTTTAAAAGTTATATCAAGTACGATTAAGCACTAAAATAAAAGTGAGTAAAACGTGGTGCAAAGATGGTGCTGATATCAACATTCCTACGGCACCACATTCTCTCTCAATGCTCATTTTGCCAATGTTTTGTGTTTTTTAGGGAAACCAGTTTTTAAAATTTCATAATGATCACAAAAAGATGCTTATTACACAAAACACGTGCTGCGAAGTACAGATTTATTGTTTTTAAGCTTCGTCACGGAACATTAGTTTTCATCGGTGATATTGAATTTTCTTTCTACAATTGTTGAGAAGGCTCATTTGTTGTAATAATTTGAAAATATCATACCATTCTATAGAGTAGTTTTTAAATAAAGACATTTATTAAAGTGAACACTTAGAAGTTTTGCTAAGTGTATATTGCTTTTAGATTCATTTTACAATAGTTAATGAACTCTCCTTTCTATTTTGATCCTAGTATAAAGAATTACAAGGGTGTAGAATGTATTCGGGAATTGAGAGTTAGCATGTCTAGTTTTATTTAGAGCCTTTAACATCTACAAATGTCAGTTATAAAACGTAAGTTACAGAATCCGTCTAAAGTTTTTAGCGCCTTTAACATCTACAAATGTGGGTAATAATAAGTAAGTTACCTATTCCGTCTTTTTTTCCAAAATACAAAACCAATAACAATCAAAATGACCACAATGATAATGGAAATAGGTATGGATACCCATGAAGCTGACTTTTCTCCTTCATCATCTTAAAAGAAAAAAAAAATAATTAAATCCAACTCCAATTAACTTTTCACGTTTTATTGGAACAATACATTTTCTTTACTAGCTTTAGTAAATTCAATTTAATATCTGATTATATCCATCACATTTCAGAGAGAGAGAGAGAGAGAGAGAGAGAGAGAGAGAGAGAGAGAGAGAGAGAGAGAGAGAGAGAGAGAGAGAGACTGTTTTCTGCACAGTTGTTTCCCCTGTCGTTTCCCCTGTCGTTTCCCCTGTCGTTTCCCCTGTCGTTTGCTCTATGTCATCAACGTTAGCCGGAACATAGATGATTTTAGAAAGATGTCCAATAAGAGGCGATATCTTTATTGTCCTATACAGTGTCCCGTTCGATTTTCTTATTATCAAAATTTGTCTGCAAACCGTAAATTGTTAAAACATCATCAAATTAAAGAATTATTCAATTTGCGTAATAGAGATGTTTCTCAATATGAATCGAATCTGAAAATAATTCTGAATCGGTGAGATCCCAATCCCGATTAGTAAACTTAGAAAAACGGTAGAAAAAGAATATTTCTTAATTACGCTATAAAAAATGTCGTGGAACAATAAGGGAAATCAATACTGAATGGTATTTATACTTTTGTCACTCGGATTTTTATTGTTATAAATGGGACAAGTCAAATTCTATAAAACAAAACAGGTTACCCTTTCTATTCAAAATATGTAAAGTTAGCTATTAGTAACTGGCTATTAGTAGCTGGCTACGACAAGTGGTAAAGTTAGCTACTAGTAACTGGCTACGAGAAGTAAGTAAAGTTTGCTACTAGTAACTGGATACTGGTAAGCTGTCTACGACAAGTGTTAAAGTTAGCTACTAGTTGCTGGTTACGATATTTAAGTAAAGTTGGCTATTAGTAATTGGCTATGTAAGGTGTAAATATGCAGCTACTTCTGGAATATCAACTTTTGTCTCACAAAATTGCATAATTTTAAACAAAAGGTACTAGTAGCTGAGTTTATTACTAACGATATCTTGTTAACTTTAGTGCCAGGTCATGTGGAAAAGCTCAGATATTGTTTTTATCAACAATATCTGTGGATATCAGCGGTGTAAAAATCCAGTTTCTTGTATAATAACAACATTTATCTCCCAAAATTGCACACTTTTAACGGTACTAGTAGGTGAGTTTTTTAATAACGATATCTTGGTAACTTAAGTGCCAGATCATTTCCCCTAAATTAGCATAATTTAATACAAAAGGTACTAGAATGTTCAAGTCAGTTACTCGTACCCAGTTACAAATAGCCAACTTTACTTAATTATCGTAACCAGCTATTGAACATTTTTGGTTGGGTGAACTTCTACAGCTGTCAGCGACTATGGATAAAGAAGTGTATGTTGAGCCCATATTGTGCCATAATGAAATAACTAATACAAACAAATTTTATGATAAAATTTGATGAATCAAAATGGTTATTAGATACATTCGATTTTGCATTTCTTGATGATGCAAAACAAAAAAAGTATTCCGCAGAATATCATGTATAAATCTGCACAATATACTGTACCAAATGCCAAAACCAGAATACTTCTAAATATTATAAATATATTCTTTACATGAACCACAGTATTTCTGACCCTTAAAAATTATATAAAGAATGTTGCAAGTAGGTTTTCAGCATTGGCCCGGGCTAATTCAAAAGTAAAATTTGGAGTTTTGCAGTAAAGTTAAATAGCGTAATGTTGTAGTGAATAAATAAAAGTTAGTAGTGAAAGATATTGGAACCTATTTTATTTGTCAGGTTTCTTTGAGCTAGTCGATTTTTATTCTAACTATTCTATTCCCCCACCCATGCACTTATAAAACCGCTGTTACCTACTTGAATTAATTTTTCATAATGGTGTTCATCGAAATGCTTGGTTGTGCCCTCAAACTGGAATAGTTTTAGGGGTCTGAAATTCCTAGACCAATTATATTTTATAGCCCAACTGTATGTATGTACTAGATGTATGGTGTGTAAGTTTCATCTACATCTGTTATGTAGTTCATATAAAAAAAACTCTAAGGGGTAATTGACGATATCCCATTCAGGGTATAAAATAGCAGTTTAAATTATTTTATATATTGTACTTGACATAATTTTTTTTTGCACCTAATGCGCTCCATACTGAAGATCCGTAAATGTTCACCCAACCAAAAATGTCCACTAGTAGCTAACTTTGCCACTTGTCGTAGCCAGCTACATGTACAAGTAGCCAGTTACTAGTAGCCAACTTTACTTACTTCTCGTAGCCAGCTACTAGTAGCTTACTTTACCACTTGTCGTAGCCAGCTACTAGTAGCCAGTTACAAGTAGCTAACTTTACATATCTTTCAATTCACGGGAAAACCTGCTCGTAAATTATTATTGTTGTATTTTTGAATTGATAAGATACTAATTACTACATTAGGTATGAAATATATATTTCAGTACAGTATCGGTGAAACTGAACAAAAAAAAATGGTAGCGAGCCTAAAACTCTACAAAGGTATCAAATAATTAATTTCGACGTCTTTACCTGAGAAGCTGATCAGAAGCAATCAAGTGAACAAAATGTCAAAGTAGCCCCCCCCCTCCCCCAATCCCCGATTTTTTGAGTCATAAAATTGTATGTTATAAAGCAAAAAAATATTACCCCCCCCCTCCCCACTCCCTTGGGAAACACATATCCCTCGTAATTTGTTCGAAGGAAATTGCAAAAACCCGCAAACATGGATAGGAAAAAATATCACACCTGCCTATCGAACTTTTTTGATGCTCCCCCTTTCATTGTCACCTAAGAAAAGTCCCTTGTTCACCTTTGACATTTCAAACTAACTCCCTAGCCAACGAGAACAAAATCTAGCTAACTTAATAGTCTCTTATTTTTTTGTCACCCGCTTTCGCGAAAGCGAGGGGACATTAAATCTCATTTGTCTGTCCGTCTATCCGTCTGTCCTTCTGTCTGTCTGTCAGTCTGTCCGTCCGTCACAAAAACTTTAACCTTGCCCATAACTTTTGATTTAGTGGAGCTATGACTTTCATATTTCATATGTGTATTCCTTGTGACAAGACCTTTCTTATGGTACCACCAAATTTGACGTTTTGACCTTGACCTTGGAGTTTGACCCACTTTTATACAAAAATTCCAAACTTTTTCTTTGGCCATAACTTTTGAATGGTAGGTACAAGGACTTTCATATTATATATATGTATTCTTTGTAGCAAGGCCTTTTATTGAGTACCAACAACTTTGACCTTTCGACCTTGACCTTGGAGATTTCAGTACTTATGAAAAGAAAATAACCTTCATAATAAGTTGTAAATGGTATGGGCTAGGGTTTTTATTCTTCATATATATTATTCTTGTGAAAAGACCTTTCATTGAATACCACGAACTTGGACCTTGACCTTGGAGTTTGACCTTCTTTGCAAAAAGTTTGACCTTTGCCACAACTTTTGAACAGTAGATACATGTACCAGGACTTTCATATTTTCACATATGTATTCTTTGTGGTAAGACCTTTCATTTAATGCCAACAACCTTGACCTTTTGACCTTGACCTTTTTTGTGTTTATGAAAAAACTTTAATCTTGACAATAACATTTGAATGGTAAAGACTAGAGCTTTCATACTTCACATATGTAATTCTTTTGAGAAAACTATTCATTGGATACCAAGAACATTAACCCTTTGACCTTGACCTTGGAGTTCAGTGATAATTTCTAAATAGAAGACTCATGCTAGGGTGTTCATATTAGACACAAAATGTCATAAAAAATTACATCTCACCCAAAAAGACACCGACAGCGGGGGACCACAATTCTTTGAATTTGCTTGTTCACTTTGTTACATCCATATAGTAATACCTGTACGATTAAAATTAGGGACTTATATCTGACCCATAAGCGGTCATACTAAACAGCGTGCACTAGTACGATAGAGTACTTTAGAGTGCGCTAGCACATTTTTATAATTCAATGCAGTTAAACTGCAATTAAACATCAATAATGTTTAATCAAGTTGTATATGCATAAATAAACAATCTAATGAATCCAAAGTACTCTATCGTACTGTAGCTTACTCTGTTTAGTAGTACCTTTCTTGCATGATATTTGTTGATATATGTGTGTGTGTGTGGGGGGGGTGCTACAAACACATACAGAACATGAAAATTCGGATTCGATTCATATTCAAAAACATTTCTATTAGGAAATATGTAGGATTTTCATTTTTAATAATTACCTTAATTTGTAGAATTTTCGTTCTTGATAATTACCTCTGATACTTTGTCAGTATATAAATATATTTATCTCCAACATCAAAATCCGTTATTTCTCCCCTTTTTGCTTTATACATCTTTGAAAGAGATTTCCCATCCAGACTAAGTCGGAATATTTCACCTTTGTTTGTTTCAGCTCCGTAGATGTAATTTCCTGTAATAAGTTTAGTTCAGTAGAACTTTGTATACAAATGATATTTACACACTTCAAATTCGACATACCTTTGTACACTAGGCAAAATTGCTAACGCACCACCTAAGAGAATTAATATTTTATTTCTAAAAAAAAACATGTACATGTTGTATTTGAGCATATTAATGTCAAACCATATAAATAACTACAGTCTTTACTAAAGTATGTCCAATTCATAGAACAAAATAAAATTGTGTCTATTCCTTTTTCGATGAAAAAAAAAATCATTTTTGGGAGTTGAACTTTGTTCAGACTCACTAGGTTGCCACACGATTTCTAGCGCAGTACTTTTCCAATGAATTATATAACGGCTGTCGTGGTGTTTCTCTGTCGGCCAATTTACTCCCCTGTGATATTCAGTACAAACTCGCACCAGTCTATCTAAACTCGTAGAAACTTTCGCAATAAAAATAGTCCATCTCATTTTTCTGAATTAATCTAATTTTCATAAATGATGTGAAAGCAAATAAAAAGGATTTTATTTAACTTAATTTGAATAGCATATTTTTGTCATCTCTCTTGAGAAATGACACGTAGATTCTGATTTCCGTATGAAAAAAAGTCCCGTCATTTATCATTCGTCAATCCTCGGCTGACTCCACTATGCTTCATTACAAAAAGTGTGAGGTAATCAAAGGAGCAACAACTGCATGGTTTAACTGGTTTGACTGGTTTGTCTAAATATGGAGATGTAAAAAAGGATGTAAGGTCAAAGGAACGCTTAGGTTTAACCGAACTTCTTTCAATTTGTTTCAGCAATAAAGAGACAGAATAACGTTACTTAAAAAAAATACTATAGCAAATATCACTGTTAGACATTTATTTGCTCTGACAAGTAAATTGATCTGTTTGACTGGGAAATTTTTGTCAGACCAGATACATGCAACTCAATTTTTTACGTTGGTAAAGGGGAAAATAATAACATTAAAGTTTCTTGATATTCGATCTCACAATTTCAAATGACATTAATTTTACATCCTTTATTTCTTGAGTTTATCAGCATTCAGTTGATCTCGTGTACAACACCAAATCTGAACTTGAAAAATGTATATGTACTTGCATTGCAGTATTTCCTTGTAAAATGTGTCATTGGATTTTATTATATAATTTAAATAGTTAAAATTAATGCATGCGTATGCACGGACACAATGGTATAATAATCCCAATGATCCATCTGTGGGAAAGATCGTACCTCATAATTACAGCTGTGTTTTTTCTTGTAATGGCTCATTAAACTATGTCTGATTTTTAATTACATTTGAATCAAATCAAAATCACGAACTTTAAGTGTCACTCGCGTGGCGCAGTTGTTAAAAGAGTTTGCTCTAGAGATTCAAAGTATAAGGCGGTAATTGATCCTTACGTCGCAGGTTCGAATCCTGTCAGTGTTGGATGCATTTGCAGATAAACTCTTTCAATGAGACCATAAAAACCGAAATCCCATGTCGCAATATATGCTTGCACAAAACGATCCCTCACTACTCAACGGATTTGAGTGCCGTGTATAGGTAATTTTTTTTAGACTTACATGTAGCTAGCTCCATCGACAAGTGGTAGAGTCTCAATATAACTGAAAAATTATCGAACGCAAAACAAACAAATTGTTAAGTATCTATAAAAATTAATTAATATGTCCCCGAAATCCCATGTCGCAATATATGCTTGCACAAAACGATCCCTCACTACTCAACGGATTTGAGTGCCGTATATAGTTAATTTTTTAGACTTACATGTAGCTAGCTCCATCGACAAGTGGTAGAGTCTCAATATAACTGAAAAATTATCGAACGCAAAACAAACAAATTGTTAAGTATCTATAAAAATTAATTATTATATCCCAAAAGAAAAATTCATACCCAAAAGGGAATAGCAAATACTTATTATAATCAGAGGAAGAAAAATGACAATCTAATGTCTGGTGATGGAAACAGCGAATATAAAGAGTGTTTGTTTGTTTGTTTCTTGGGACCAAATATCTTGTTCACATTCTTAAGAGAGTATGGGGCATTTGGATTCAAATGCTTCATAAATATAAGGGTATTGTTTGAGTTTGAGTAAGAAATGGTACTGAAAGAAGTTTCAAACCTACCCTCAAAATAGTATTTTTGAGTTTGGAAAAAAAATTGGTGGGGTGGATATTGTTTGTTTGGTTTGGTCAAATTGTTGAGGTAAGAATTAGAAAGAATAAATCCAGAAGTAAACTTAACTGTTCGTGCGCAATAAATATACAGTTTTTTTTTCAATAATTGGCACTGTAGCTCCACGGTCTGTCAAAATCTTTTTTCGGACAGCTACAGTTCTTCAGCTAATTTAAAAGCAGTCCCATAATCTTGGCTATTCAAATGCAATAGAAATTATTTTTAATGTTTCGTGTTGTATCTCTTACAAATCCGTTCTAGCAGGCTTGAATCTGATAGCATGAAATTGTTTCTATACTTCCCGTGAGATCTTTCAGACAACAATCTTCAACTCCCATGAGTACTTTCAGTACTTTGATTTTTCTTTGTGTTTGTGTTCTCTCCATTTGTACTTATCTTAAACTCAGAAAAAAAATTTACACCGTATGCGGCATTTGACGCTAGAAGAGCGCGCTAAAGCAGACAGACAGTATGGCATTTGCAGGGGGTTCCTTTAGAGAAATCTGTAAACACTGAAAACAATATAAAGCTGATGAATTCCATTCATTAAGAATTATTGCAAATAGATTAACAAATATAAAACTGTTTACTAAAGATGGCCAGGTCATAAAGTTAGCATCCTACAATAAGTTGAAAATTGTTCCAAAGCGTGGGCCAACCGAAAGTGAATTTGGTACGGACCAGGCTTGGGGCGAATTACATTGTAAAGTAATGCATTACATTACCATTACTTCAACAATTTGGGTATTAAATTACCATTACCATTACTCTATTTTCTTAAAGTAATGCATTACATTACCATTACTTTAGTAAAGTAATGCATTTCCAGTAGCATTACTTTTGGAGGTTTTTAAACATAGAAATGTATACAAAACTTAGCGATTTTTTTTTTCATAAGTATATAGCCACCCCCTTCAAAACTAAACATAAATATACAATTCAAATTTGATTTCAAGTTTTTGTATATATTACATTGTCAATAACTTACATTTAGAGAAAGTTCAGACTTTTAAAGAAGTCGGTTCACTTTCTGCATAAAATGGCCCTGTAGATATGCCAATTAATTGATCAACACTTGATTTTCTATTTGCAGCATTTAAATAAAATAGAGATTTATGCTTTCATATCCTATTTAAAAAATTCTCATTGAAGTCCATGTATTGGAGAACTGGCTTTATGAAATGGCAATGTTCTTGAATTTTGATGTAAACAGGTATAATTGAGTACTTTCAGTGAAGAAAAATAATATGAGCGCACCCTCTGATCTAAAAAGTAAAACATGCCCATGAATCCTCAGAAACAGTTCTTTCATTTACAAGTTGCATATTTTAGATCAGAGTTTGCGCTCTATATCAAATATCAAAAAATAACTCAAATTTTGGCCGTTTTTATAGACATTTTCTGAATATGAGTAAATTGACGCATTTTGTGACGTCATAATGCATTGACTTGGCAGCAAATGACGTCATTTTTTATAGGATCGCAGTCACCAAAGATCTAAGTGATATTTTAATGCATTGTTAACTAAAATTATGCAACTTCAGTTTTTCAGAAATTCACAAGGCCAAATAAGGCAAAGATGAACCTTGTTCTTGTCAAAAATTGACAGTTTATACAAGACATGTACAATATCCACTTTTTGTTTAACTATTGATTTCATGAAGCAATTAACCTTTGAAGCTCTTTAACCCCTAGCTACCCGAATTTTTTAATAATAAAGTATAAAGGCTATTTTGATTAGTACCTTAAATTATGAAAGAAATATTAATAAATGCATTGACAAACTTTTTGAAAACGTAGACAGGATGACGATGTACATTTTGATCTGCTTATAATACAATGCCTGCATGTCTTCTGATTGGTAGAATGAAATTTTTATGGTCAGTACAAGGTACATGTATACCAGCTTAATTAATGTTTTATAAACACAGTCAGGAGAAAGGAACTTGTAATTTGGAGGGTTTATGTAAGCTATTCCCACTTTCTGAAAATCAGGTAGAAAAAGGTGAAATTTCACGTGGGATTATGTGGAATTTCGTGTAAACAAACAATTAACTATGTTCTTAAATTTAGGTATCAAGTTGGTATTTCTTGTAAGATCTTTTTATTATTACAAAAATCCAAAATAAATCATATTTTCTCATAGATGTATTCATTATTTTCTGTCTTTAAATGGACAAAATGCAGTTAAATCTAAACATCTATTGTTATATGCAAGTGGGAATAGGTGGAATTGGGCATTTCTCCAAACAATGCATTGTTTTAATTGTTACATAACCCAAAGGCATAGTGTGTTTTGATGACACTCTAGCTATTTAAAAGGTGGCAATTATCAATTTTCACTTTACATAATAAAAGGTGTTTCTCATATGTGTATTATTTTATTTTGAAAAAAAAAAGATTTTTTAAAACTATCTTATATAATTCTTTAAAATTAATTCTTATCTGAATTACTTTTGAAAACTTAAATGTAAGGTAAGTGTATTTTTAACAGAATAAAAAGTGTATTTAAATAGATACAGAAATTTTATTTAAATAAATTAACTTTTTTATTCAATTTTATCATTTGCAAAAATGAAAATAAATAAAGTAAAAAATAACATAAATAATGATTTCCATCATCCATGTCCATTTTCATTCTTAAAATAGGTACACACAAAATAATGCTTTGTAATGCATGTAATGCCAGCATTACTCTGGATTTTATGAAGTAATTCATTACATTACCACTACATGTAATGAGAATTTTTGGGCATAACTCATTACTAGCATTACTTTGAGTTCATGTTTTGCATTGCAATGCATTACCATTAAAATAAGCATTACCCCAAGCCTGGTATGGACACTAAGGCACCGTATGATCACTAGGCGATATGAGAGTCAATTCGTCATTTGATTTATAACTGGGAACTACTTGTGTGGCAAACTCACAGACAACCTTTAGTGATCATGAATTTCATATCTGAGCAAAAATTGGTTTTTGGACAAGAAGGTAATTCAAGGGTCTTTTCATGATACCCAAACATTTGTCAATCCCACTGTATTGGAAATAATGGCCTAATATATACACTATTACAAATCAATTCTAAAATAAGAATTAACAAGAGATGCATTAGCAATTTTGTCTATTGTATCTTTAAAAAAAATCATACATATACGTTACCTGACTGGTGGGCTGCAAGACGTATATGTGCCTCTTGATATGGTGTTTGCAGCATCGTCAACGTTGAATTTTCAATATCATATACCAAAAGTGCATTTCCAGTTGATATGACAGCAATTCTATCGAAATAGTTTCACAAATGCTTTTTTATTATATTTCCCTTTTTTCAAGCCTGAAATTTCTCATTGCAGTTTATTATACAATGTTTATTATTCCTTTTAGAGATGTTAAAAAGGCAGCCAGAAGGCGCAGACGAATACAGTGTTACATGAGCAATAGTACCTTCAAATTCCCTATTACAGCATTGAGATTATGTATAAATTCCAAATAAATTCCCAATACGTTTTTTTTTCACAAGATATAGGATGGCACAGACTCTAGATTCGTACATATGTATAATGTCACATTTTTTGTATGTATGTAGACATTTTAATCTGTCTTTCCTGAAACTTTAGTATGCCACATAAAGAAATTGAAGAGGCTAAGATATGTAATATTCTTAATCGCAAAAAGGGTACAATCTTGTATTTCAACATATTTCAAGTTAAAGTTTTTAACTTCTATTTCCTTCAAGTATACATCGAGCATTGATTTCAAAAACCTTTCAATTAGAGCAAAACATTTTATGGCCTGGATATCGAGTATATGAAATATATTCCATAGTGTTCTTGTTCCTCTTTGTCCTACAACTAAGATCCTGCTGGACACGTTATTACAGGTGACGTAAATATAATTAATAATGAGGACCTTAGATTACTTATTTTAAACGGTCATATGTATATTGTATTCCGGAACTTCATAAAAATCCTTAAAAACTAAGATAAATTGCGGGTTCTAGTAAATCCTTCCTTACTCAATTTGATATTGACAGTAGTAAAGGAAAAACCTCAAGTGTACTGTGCAAACAATATATTTAAGAAGTGGTGTTAATTACTTAAATATTCCAAAGAACTTTTGGACAATTTGAAATCAAAAGATTTTACCAAATTCAACAGATTTGAAACTTTTCAACTTCATTCACAACTATTCCCACGATAAATCAAAGTCCAGGCTTTTTGATATCATTGACAGCTGCTTTTGCAATAAAATGCAACTCGTAAATTTACTTACCTTGTCATTGGTCACTTGCAGAAAGAATTATTTTGTTAAAACAGTTTCTAATTGCAGAAGTACACATTTCAAGTACTCTGAAGTTGACTTAAAAAAATAAAGATGCATGAATTTCTGATTGACAATATCCATAACGTTTAAGAAGGCCAGATCTTGGAATATTCTATTTGAATTCCCATGGGTACCAATTTGTGATCTGTTATTATCGGACTGATTTGTGTATTCATTTGAAGCAGAATTTATGCAAAATCTTATGCGTGAAAATCGAAAACACTTATAGTGGCCTTCGGCTCGACATTTAAATATATCGACGACGTATTATCAATAAGCAATAGTCATTTTTTATTTTATGTCGATAAGATATATCCTGGTGAGCTTGAGATAGAGATCCCACATAATCTGACACCTCTGTTTCATACTTAGATATTTTGCTCTAAAAAGACACTAATGGTAAATATAATCTAACAACCAAGCTTTATGACAAACGTTATGAGTTAACCTATACATGTACAGAAATTTTGACCATAACTTTTGAACGGTTAGGGCTTTTGCACATCAAATATGTAATCCTTGTGAGAAGACCTTTCACTTGATACCAAGAACTTTAACCCTTTGACCTTTACTTTGGAGTATGACCTACTTAAAAAAACCTTAATAAGACCTATTCACCTTGAAGATTGATCTACTTTTCAAAAATTTATCCTCTACTATAACTTTTAAACAGGTAGTGCTAGGGGATTTGTGTTTCACAAATCAATTTCTTGCGAGAAAAACCCTACTTTATGTAATAATATAATTGATCTGTATTTAAGAAAAGTTTTATCTTCGTTATGTTGCCATATGGGGTCATCGGTGTTTCAAAACCACATCTTGTTCCTTATATTGAGAAGAGATAGGGCTTTTATATTTGACGTGTATTACTTGTGATAAAATAAAATTCCAAGCATGCTATGTTTTCTTATCCCTCGACCTTGACTTTCACGATTGACATTATTTTTATTTTTAAATCAACTTCAAAGATTATTTCTAAATGCTGCAGTAAATGGCTTATTACAAGGTGTTCATATTAGACACAATAAGTCATAAAAATATACATGCCATCCACAAAGACACCAAAAGAGGGGCACCACAATTTTTTTTAAGGATTTGTTTGTTCTCATTTAAAATGCGTCACATGTGTCCAGGAATTTACCAATCACCCGTTATAACAAATTATTTCTCAATTCTTTGAAGTACAAATATTTTTTTTTAAGATACCAATCCATTTTTCAGAACTTCTTTATAAATTCATAGAAATATTTTCCTAAAATCTTATAGAAAGGCCTATATTGATGATATTTATTCCATTAACGTTTATCTGTTATTTTTAGATAAGACGACAACGCCACATGATGTTGAAGCGTCAACGTAATGACGTAACAGCATAGGTTAAAAACAATGCTTAAAATTAGAAACAGCCGTAAAATGAAAACCAGATCATACAATTTTTAAAGTATAATGTGAGGAAGGTTGACTTTTTTTAATGACTCGGTCCATTTTTGAACTTCATGGATTTACCCCTTTTGTCCCATATTCGGAACTGAAAGCCACTAAACAGGGTAAATTTTTCGTGACCAAAGCTTGTGGAAATCAACTGATTCTTTTTTGGTTTCTTTACACAAAGACGTGAGACCAGTTGATGAGAAATGGTTACACTACGTCAGAGATAAGGATAATTTCAATATGAGAAAGTATTACAAAAATCGTCTTTGCATTATGCAAATGAAGCAGATAGGAGTAAGTCAATGAAATAAAAGTGATTAAAATAACATTATTGAAATATTTATGAATAGTTTTTAAATATCCTTTGCTAACAACAACTGATAAAAATTAATTCGATAGATCAATTAAAAATGTATTGAATGAAAAAACTATAGTGCATGTAGTTTATTTCTTGCATTGTAATTCGTAAATAATAATTTAAAAATCATTCTTTTTTCCGACTTCCATAAACGTTTCAGAACAATAAGGAGTACCTTTTCCTTGCAATGCACGCTATTTCCGTTGGCAGTGGAAGATAATTAAGATGTACTTTGAACTTCATTTTGTTATAACGATAGGAGGAGTTCGAGGACGCTTGGTACACGGAATAACCCTCAGCAGTCTGCCCAATAATTATTAATGAATTTGAAGATGAATCATAACAGAAAAGGTGTATTCTATATCTGCCATTGAAATCTGGAAAAAAGATATATTTATTGAACACTATCGACTTGTGTAGATATCTGGAAAAAAAACATGCAAATTGTTTTAAATAGCTGGTTAGATAGAACTAATAGTTTTGATAATAATGTAAGGAGCATTTATCTAACACTAGACTTGTTAAAATGAAACATGTAGCGGGACACAGCTGAAAATCATAATGGTCCACGTTTCCATTATAAATGACATCCACATAATTATAAAGTCGTGTTTCATTAAAGAAAGTTTCTTGTATGATATCGCGCACATTTGTGTTTTTATCTTCTGTTGTTTTTAAGGATTTTTTTTCTCTCCTAAAAAAAAAACTATGTAGTTGCCCCGAATTTAAACAACAAAGCTCAGACGCTGCCCGGTACTTTAAATTCTTCAGCAATTGTAATTGTTTTGTTCACTCCTCCATGGCACCTGATCCCACTTCTGATGTTTCGGAGGTCCGTGTTTGCTCTGCTCTGAATTTGTATATTGTTTAATGGACTTTGAGATTGAATACTGTTCGTTATCTCCATATCCTTCTTTTTTTGTAAAACACATTTTGATTGGCTAATGACGTCATGTTCCATGCAGGACGAGGATTGCCCCAAAAGTTCGTGGACAATGACTTTTTTGTGAAAATAGATGGTTCTTTATAAAAATTTTGTATATCAAAATATTTCCCATGAAAAAAAATCAGAATAATTTGATTTTTATGGATGGAAAGTAAATTTTTTTGTGAAAATCGGGGTCTAAAATGTCGCGGATAGTGTGCACGGACCAGTCTGACGTTTCGCTAACTTCATTATATCATCAAACATTTGGATTTTGACTTAACGCATGTTCATGGACACACACTTCATCTCTTTATACGGCGCAACGCACTTCCAAGTTCTAGCAATAATCTTTAAGAATAAATTATAATTTATTTGACTTTAAAAATTCAAAACAATGCATAAAAATTTACAAGCGTCATCTAAATAAACATTTTGTACACACAAACTGCACAGCGCAGTCTGAATTGCGCTGGATTTATATCAACGTCATGAATATAATACTCTATTTTCAGTAAATTATATGTGTTTTTAATTCTTGTAGTGTCTAGGAATTTGTACACACAGTTGAAAAATCGTATATACCAATCTGAAATTGATAAACTTAATATATTTCAATAATTTTGAATTATTTCAACAAATATTTAGTCTCTTAAATTGTTTAAACCGTAAAGAAACTTATTTTTTGATCCAACACTGCCCCGTGCGGACGGCCTATGTCCCTTTTTGTGGAGTTTTGACACATATTTGTTTAGTATTTGTACTGTCTATTTAGTAAGCGATACTTAAGATTTCATAAAATGATTATATCCTCTTTATTTGAGTTACATACTTTTTTTTATTAATTTTAGACTTGTCTTATATAGAAGATAATAATTTTAATCCCGGACACTTTATATCAGAGTTTATGTCAGTTTAACCTTGGTCCGTGCGCACTATCCGCGACCTCTAAAGACTCTGATTTTTTTTAAGAATATTACGTTCCATTAACAAAAATTAAATCATTCTTGTTTGTTTTTTCATAAGAAAAATTTTGATATACAAAAGATTTATGAAGATCCATTTATTTTTTAAAAAAAAACGTCATTGTCCACGAACTTTTTCAACTTCCTTTTTGAGAGGAAGCTTTTCATTGTGACGTCATAATAGAGCAACACAGAACACAGTGCTCTGTGTCTTATTTCATGTCACAAAACTCAAAAGAAGAAGACAATAACAAACAAAATGCATAGATTGCATTAGGACTATCTTCTATTTTTGTATTTGCGACCGTTAATGCTAATTTAAAGGTCGCAAACGCCCGTTTTACCGGCTCTGCTTACGCGTCACCGGTAAAACTCAGCTTGCGAACATCATATCAGCATTAACGGTCGCTAATACCAATTCAGAATATAGATATTCCCTAATTTTCACAGAATTGTTAATGTTTGCTTAGCAAATGTCTCTGTGAATTTCAAACTCGACTTGATTTATATGCAGAATGATTGCTGAATCAAATATAACAATGGGTATTATGGATTTCAGTGAACGGTCAATATGTATATATACTGTAAACGTATTACATTTGGCTGTGTATTCTTTTTAGCGCCTTTCGCGGAAAGCAGCCTCCGCTAAATCAAGTACATTGCTAAATACTTTGTGTATAAAGGTTTATGTAAAGCAAATTCAAAAAGCTCTAAATTAAATCTACGCCAACTTGTTGAAAATTCAATTTCCGCCAAATATCGTACACGCCAAATATAATACATTTACAGTATATCCTCGAGTGACACAGAAAGTGCATATAAATTAAGTTCATAGATGGTCCAACACAGCAAATGTAAATAGAACTTAATATAATGATTCATACCATTTAACAATATTCCTCCAAAACGTCCATTGTCAAAAGAATACTTCCGAACTGTTGCATCTGATGCAACAGTTGCATATGATGCAACATAAATCCAGTTTGGTTCCTCGGTTGATACATCCAAAATTTTATAATGATTGGCAATTTTGCTATACTTGTTTCTTTCGCTGAATCCAAACACACTGTTACCAGTTTTATCAAGCAAAACGAATTGTTTTAAAAAATTTTCTACAAAGAGACAAAGTGTACAACAAGAATGTCAAGATAAAATGATTTAATATTTAACAAAAAATGCCATAGACACAAATCAAATGCTTTATAATATCCCCTTTAATTAACTTTAAAAGAACACTTGCTCTTAAGCAGTAGAAAGCTGACAATTTTTCAGTTTCAATTTAGGTAGAAAATTTCTCCAGAACGTTCTTTCTAGATATTATTTTTATTCTGATAAATACATCTACTTATTTATTTCAACGCAATAATCTTTGTATTTCAGAGGCACATCGAATGTGGGGAATATTTGATATTTTATTAAAAACAATATCAATGTAGTCTAAAAGAAATTATGTTATTGAAGATTTGTTTAAAAATTGCTTATTTAGTTAAATATTCTTGTGTTTTGTGTTTTTGAAATCCCCTATATCAACTAGTGAATGTAGGTCACAAACAAAGAACTATAATTTCTAATGCATTTTTTACTGGACTATAATTCACACTGAACTAAATCTGGAAATATTTCATCTTTTTGTTTAAAAAATTAACTTGGTGGGAAAAGCACTTTTGATAAAAGTTTTCTGACAAAATGTATAGACGTTTTTATGAAATACAAGAGTTATCTCCCGTAGCATCGGTAAATCTGCTTAACACCTTTTTATCGGAATCCTAGTGAAATATTTAGAATCGATACACTAAAGAAAATTATTAAACAAAAAAAAACTAATTATTTTAAAATATAATTCATTTTCACCTCCAAACGTAAAATGAAGATTAAAATTGGCTCTATTATTCAGGTTGAACCCATGTTCCACTGATGTATCAGGGACGTCATATACCTGACTAATACTGCGTCACAATGAAACTGTTACAAGTTTTCCAGAGATGCTTGAAATTCTTTGCGTAAAAATGTAAAGAAAAAGATGTTTAGAAGTATTATTTGCTTTTTCTGTTTAATTACTCTTCTAAATGTTGAATAATATTTCAATATCAAAATGTATTTTATACACGGGCAGCTAGATGTATTAAAACATGTCTGTTTTGATAAGTAATTTCATAAATGTCTGAGAACTATTTTTTTCTAACCGATTTGCTAGGATATGCGTAAAAAAATTGGGAATCAATGATGAATGTTTACGATGTCAGCAACATTTAATTCAACGAAGTGTAGATGTTTAATACTTCATGATAATTGTAAAAACTAAAATATATTTTTTTATGCAGTCAAATCAAAATTAAAAAGAAAAAATGCGATACGATTAAAAATGAAAATATAAACCCCTGAAAAATATGTTTTAAATATATATTTACTGAGTTAAACTACTGCTGAATTCCCCATTATAATATGGCACTAAAACGGAATATGGTCTAGAGAAAAAATTGATGTTTTTATTTTATATATTTATCTTTTTTCTATTTGGCGATTGAAGCAATCACAGACTAACATTTAATATGGAGTTTAAACATGTGACTATATTGGCCAATTCTAAAATGTTCTCACGTTCAGGAAACCAATTTTTAAAAATAAAGATGTCATGACCCCCCCCCCCTCACTCGGCTTTTTGCTTGCGATATATCAATTCTTATATAATGATATTAAATTTGAAATAACTTAATTTCTCATTAATATAAAATTAAATGATGTAAAAGAGGAAATCAATGGGGAAAAGGCTTTACAAATGACACATAAAAAAACTGGATAAAAGCGAGACATCACATAAAAATAGACAAATAACTTTATTCGGTAATAACCAATGTTTGCCCCCCCAAATCAAACTTTGATGGAGATATATTGATTTAGTTCTTAAACAGGGGAGTATATGCTGACTTCAAAGAACTAAATATTTTCATAGGTAACGACGACAGATGAACGTAATGACGTCACAAACATGATGCAAATTTCAGTTTTTTATGGATTTTACAGAAAATTGTACATTTTTTCGTCAATATTTTGAGTAAAGTCACTAAAACATGTGTGTTCAGGATCTATATTTTGATATAATGTGTAGAATGATAATATCAATGAAATATGTCAATATTGTTCCTGCATAAACTTGCGCTCTATAAATTTTAAAGCTAAAACTGTTGAAATTTGTTTGTCCTTTTTTGAAAAAGGATATAAAATCAGACTTGTTTGTGACGTCATAAAAACAAAAAGTGTGAATACGCTGCTTTTACCAAAAATAGGACAAGAGGACCACTGAAATTCTTTTTTTTTTATTTTGTCATGTGTAAACATTTGCTTTAACAAGTCAGCACTTAAAAAAATTTGATGTTGCCCTGTGTAAAAAAAACTTGCTTTAATAAGTCTCCATGCAAAAATAATTAAAATCCATGACATGCCATGTGCCTCCCATTGCCTGGATTTTCGGTGGACTGCCTCT